ATGATTAAAACTCTTTGTCTAACATTTCAGTGCTCTGATAAGCTCTTGAAAGAACACTCCTTACCTGAAAAGAAGTATATTTTTGTGGTCTGAACATCCTCAAAGGCAGAGTCAATGACAGCAGGTAGAGCTGGCCAACTCTGAGAAATGGAAAATGGTCCCTTTCGACCTCTGTCTGTCTTGCTTGATACCTTCCAGAAATACCTGTCAACCAGAAATGCAAGATTAGCACCTCAATAGGTTATGTTTCTAGAGCATAAGTAGAACTAGCTATTTGCTTACCCATCTTTGAAGAAATGCAGATGTTTCTGAATCACAGTGATGGTGTCAAACTTGAGCATCTTGCAGGGGTCTTTGGTGGGATCTACAATTGGTGACGCTATCACGACAGATGAACTAGTCGGATTAGGTATTACTGTGGCGTTGAGAGTAGGACCAGGGCCTGTTTTATTTCCTGCAAAATATGGGAATGTTCTTTAAGGCAAAGTTTTCATGAGTTTGACGAGATTTATTGTGAAAGAGTACTGGGTTGTCAGCTCACCGTAGAGGAACTGAATACCATCAATGTCGTCCTGATCCAGGGAGAAATCCTCCACATAGCTGTACTGAGGGTACATGAGAGCGTTTCTAACGTTGGAGTGATCCAAACCCAGGCCGTGTCCGAACTCATGGGCAGCCATCAGGAACAGGCTATAACCTGGAAGATAGCCAGTTAGAAATTTCATAAATCTCATAAAATGATAAATGCAGAACAAATTCTTGCATTCGTGTCGCTCACCCAGGTCAGGACATAAACCCAATTTCTTGTCTCTATCATAGTTGTCAGTGGTGGCACACCACAATTTTAAGTCTGTCCTCTCCTCTCTAGTACATGAGTAGTATAACATCCCCCGAAATACAAAAGGAAAGTGGCAGGGATCTCCATCTGAGCTTGTCACATTTACGGTAGTATCTGGACAAAAAGAGACAAAATAACTGTGGTTAAACAAAAGAACAAGCCACTGTGGCAGGACTTTCACACCTTGTGTTTTCTGTTACCCACCACGGTTGGGACAGAAGCCAAATCTATCGTGTCTATCATAGCTGTCAGTGGTGGCACACCACAATTTGCCATCTGTCCTCCCCTCACTGGTACATGAGTGGTATTCCCTGCCTTGGAACACAAAAGGAAAGTGGCAGGCATCTCCCTCCGAGGTTCCTCCAATTACAGCAGTGTCTGGACAAACAGACAAAATAACTGTGGTTAAACAAAGCAACAAGCCACTGTGGCAGGACTTTCACGCCTTGTGTTTTCTGTTACCCACCACGTTTGGGACAGATGCCATATATCCCGTCTGTGTCATAGTTGCTAGTGGTGGCACACCAGCGTTTTCCGTCGGTGCGACCGTCGGTGGTGCAGTACTTATACATCCTACCCTGGAAGATGAAGGGGTAGACACAGGGGGCTCCATTCGCGTTTCCGTCAAATGTGAACAAGACTGTGAGGATTACAGTTGAAAATGTCATTGGATGAGTTCCAGTTTTCCTTCACAAGCTCATAAACATAATTTATAACTTCAGGCTTGTCATTTTTGTCATGCTTACGTTCAGTTGGGCAGAGGCCGTATTTCTTGTCTGTGTCGTAGTTGGCTGTGGTTGCACACCAGGGTATGCTGTTGTTTACGCCTTCAGTGATGCAGGTGGTGTACAATCTCCCATGGAAAGTGAATGGGAAGTGACATACGGCACCTCCCGCATTGCCAGAGTAAGTCTTCACCACTGAGAAGACAGATTGGATTGTGTGTTAAAGGAAATCTGTCCAAAGAACACCAGAGGAAGGAGGAAGGTAGAAGCACGTGATTTCTGAGGTGTAGTTACCATTTCCTTTTCCCAGAGTCCAGTATTCATCATTGTCAAAGTGGGCGTCCACAGTAAAATTCATACCTGGAAGAAAGGTGTGAGCTAGAGTGGCACCCTTACCATCAAAGGGAAATCCATCCCCGTGGTCTAAAGAGAACATGAAGCACCTCATCAATGTTTGATTTTTAGAATTCAGCTTCTTAATTTGTTAGAGTGCAAATGTTTGACTTAGAAATGTAAAAACGAGCACATACCACCTGTTTCAAAGGAGATCATGATGTCTGCTTCGCCTTGAAAAAGGCGGGTAAATGTCAGAGGAGTGACATCACTCCACACCCTGAATGCTCTTGCAAAGACATCATCAGTCACAGTGCTTTCCATGTCAAGAGAATAGTTCAGGATCCTGAAGACACAGTGAACTCAAAATGACTATCAGATCTAGTCTGATGAAAATTTATCAACACTTTTAGTCCAGGTCGGTACCAAAACGCTGTTCGTCAACGTCCTCGGATGTCCAGTCAAGGGATCCAGGTCACGGCACCAAATTGTTATGAAAAAAAGTATTACCTAACACTATTCAGGTGAAATCACTCAATCAGGTTTATTCATATATTGTGCACAATACAGAGAGTTTGTGGGACAATCAATAATGAAGCAGTTCCGGATGGAAAGCTCTGCCAGGCAGAGTCAACACAAGTTTTATATCAAGGATAAGGAATTCAAAACAAATGGGTGAGACAGTCTGGTTCTCATGCAGCTGTGGGAAACAACTTCCAACCTTGTACACGTAACCCATGTAACATGTAGTTATTTTGGTGAGAGTTCACAAGCATTTCATATAACAGATTTTAACTTATAGTAATTTTCCACCACAAGCTACAAGAGAGAGTCTTCTGAAACTATAGTTGTGTGTGTAGCAAAACATGTCATGATATAATTTGCTTCTGATTTTAGGCTGTGAAATGGTTTTTATTAAAGATGTAACCTACCAAGGCAAAAACATTTCTGGTGAAATCGCACGAGGCACAGGGTAGTATGTCAGTTTTTATTTTTCTCTTGATTTGCATGTTTTCCAGCAATTTAAGTTATCATTATTTAAACTTCTCTTTGCATGCCGTAGCATTAACCAATGCCATCTGAACATCTATGATTTTTTCTTTGTATAAAGTGCTATTTAAAAAAAAAATCTGAAACTCTGCCTTAAAAACCAATTTATTAACAAGCAAAAGTTTTTTTTATATTACAAGGACATATTTGGTAGAATAAACAATCTCACTCTGTAATCATTAATGTAATGACACATAGTATTTCTTCCTTCCACTCACCTGTATGTAATATTGTTATGGTCCCATTTGTGTATCCCGCCAGCTACGAGGTAATTGGCCACATCAGGAACACCACAGCGAGGTCGCTTCATGGCATTCAGTGTCGGCTTGTCCAGTTTTCCAGTCTCCTTCAGACCCATCTGTCTCTGCATCATCTTCAGAGCCTTTCCTATGGACACCTTGGACTTGAAGTCACCGTGCTGCTCCGTCCCCATGTAACCAAACTTTTTCAGATAACTCTGTCAAACAAGACAAAACACACCAGAGCTCAGCCAAACACTCCCATTCTCAATTTGTGTAATGTCACACATTT